GGACTGAAATTGCTGCTGCTCCTCGGCTTCAACCCCTTCATCCTCTGCTGCCTTCACAAGCTTGAATTCTGCTGGCAGGGGAGTTGCAACCTTGCGCTGATTCTCAATCCCATACTTCTCCCCCAGCTCCTTGATGAACTTCTCCTGGTGCAGCTTCAACCACCTGTGATCCAGATCCCTCTCCACGTGCATCCCGAGGTAGTACTTTACCTCCCCAAGGGTCTTGCACTTGAAGTTCTTCATCAGCTGCTGCTGCACTTTCTGGATCTCCTTCATGCTGCTGCTGAAGAGAAGAATGTCGTCCACGTAGACCAGAAACAGCACCAGCTTCTCCCCCTCCCCCTTGAGAAAGAGGCTCTCATCACAGCTGCTGGTCCTGAATCCCATCTCCTCTAAAACAGCTGCCAACTTCTGGTACCAGCAGCGTGGCGCCTGCTTCAAGCCGTAGATGGACTTTTTCAGCTTGCACACCCTGCCCGTACCATCCTCATACCCAGGCGGCTGCGTCATGTACACATCCTCCTCTAAAATCCCATTGAGGAATGCCGTTGATATATCCATCTGAATGATGAATTTCCCACTAACGGCTGCATCTCCCAACAAGACACGGAGGGTAGGGGGTTTGACAGTGGGAGCAAAGATCTCATTGAAGTCCTGCTTCTCCTTCTGCATAAACCCCTTAGCCACCAGCCTACTCTTGTAGATGGTGACCTGTCCCTTGTCATCGGTCTTGATCCTTAGCACCCACTTGCACTGTACGGCTTTCTTCCCCTCAGGCAGCACCACCAGATCCCATGTCCCATTCTCTAGCAAGCTTTGGTACTCAGCATCCCTAGAGACCAGCCACTTCTCCCTATCTGGTCCAGCTAATGCCTCCTCCATGCTTGCTGGTTCCTCTGGTGCAGGGGCAAGAAAACAGTAGGCAGGTTCATCCTCCTCATCCGGGTCATAGCCATGCGGTAGAATCAGCAATGCCTCCTCATTCCCAAGCTGCTGCTCTGCAACATCAGCTCCTGCAGTCAGCTTCATAGTGGCCATACGGGTACGTCCTGGCCTGGAGACGGGTGTCTCCCATCCCCTCATAACGACACCCTTCGGCTTCCTCCTTGATGGTAGCGCAGGAACCTTAGCTTTTCCCAGCTGCTGTTCTCCTCCCTCAGATCCAGCAGCTTCCTTGGTGCTACCACTAGTCTCTACAATATCTCCTCCACCAGCAGGTGCCTCCTGCACCTTCTCTCCATCGCCACCCTCTGCAGCTGCCTCCTCTCCCTCCTCCCATACACTAGGAGTCAGGTCCAGCTGCATGGTGATCTGCTCCATCTGCTGGGACACCTTAGTCTCCGGCTGTTTCTTCCAGCCCCCATACATCATGCCCTCAACAAACTTCACATCCCTGCTGTCAAACAACACACCCTTGGATGGTTCCCACAGCAGCCATCCCTTGCTCTCAGCAGCCAGCCCCAAATGCACACACCAGATTGCACTCGCCCCCAACTTACTTCGATACTTCTTGGGGACGTGGGCGACTGCCATGCAACCGAACACCCTCAGCATGTCCACCGGCGGCTTCCTCCCAAGCCACCTCTCCAGCGGCACCCACGATTCATTACCAACCTTAGTGAGCACCCTGTTCCTAGCCACGGTAGCGTGGCGGACAGCATGGGGCCACATGGAATTGCCCACCCCTGATTCTATGAGCAGCGCCCTAGCTGTCTCCAGAATGGTCCGGTTCGCCCGTTCTGCTACACCGTTGGACTGCGGAGAGTAAGCCGTGGTCAGCTCCCTCTGAATGCCCTGCTTCTTGAGCCAGGCCGTCGTTTCAGCTCCAAGGAACTCACCACCCCGGTCTGTCCTAATCCGCTTCACTACACACTCCGCTTGCTTCTCAACGAATGGCAGCCAATCTTCCTTTATCGTAGAGGCGGCGTGGTCCTTTTGCTTCAGCGGATACGCCCACATGAGTCTGCTCCAATCATCCACAATGGTTAGGAAATACCGCTCCCCCTTGTGCCCTTGCACCGGCAGCGGCCCCACCAGGTCCATGTGAACCAGCTCCAAAGGCTTCTTGCTCCTGCCAGTCACGCTATGAAAAGGGAAACGAGTGAATTTTGAGAGCAAACAGATTTCACAGTTGTCATCGGGTGGCTGTCCGTTCAGCTTCAAACCCTTGACTGCTCTATCCTTCTCTAGCTGCTTCAATAAGGGCATTGCCACATGCCCCAAGCGTCGGTGTGCCGTTGCCCAATCTGTCTCCCCAGATCTGGCCGACACCTTCACACCAACCCCTCCAACGGTGTTGCACTCCCCCTGGGATGCAGACCCCTCTCCAGCCTGCCCCCCACCGTGCCACGCCAACGCCGGCAGCTGCCACATGGATCTGTACACATCCTCGCTCTCGTGCAGATCCCAAAGCACCCGATTTCCCAGCTGCCCCTTGTACGTGCGTGCCCCATCCGTGCTAGTGCTCACCCCAGCCTTGGCAAGCTTACGGAGGGAGATGAGGTTGGCCTTGAGATCAGGAACAAGGAGAACGTCGTGCAGCACCACCGGCTTGCCATCCGCTCCCTTGAATGCAGCTCGTCCCGCACCAGCCACCTTCAGCGCGTGTCCAGAGGCAGAGCACACCTCATTGATCGGTGCAGCTCGTACGTCATCAAGCAGCTCCTTGCGCGGCGTCATCGTCCAAGCAGCGCCCGTGTCCAACACCCAATAGTCCAGGGGATGCAGCTCTGCTCCAACGTTGGCAGAGGCGTCTCCTTGCTCCCCCTGCTCTCCAATATGGAAGAACTGGCCTGCGGTGCGCTCCTTCTTCTTCTCTGCACCGCCGTTGCTCTTCGGGTTGTTGTCGGACGAATCGGCGACCATGTTCGCGCCGTTTTTCTGGTTCCTCCGCGCGCCGCCATCCTGGTGACGATTCTGGGGGGTCCATCCATCGGGTTTCTTATAGCACAAAAACCAGGGGTGCCCCTCCTTCTCACAATACCAGCAACTCCCTTTCATTTTGCCACCAGCACCCGACTTGCCCCCACGTCCAGATTTCGCACCGCGACCCCAACCGGTACCTCCTTGTTGGTCGTTGGAGTCGTCGTCCTTCTTTGCACCGCGTCCAGCACCACCAAAGCCACGTCCTCTGCCACGTCGGCTCCCTTGCATCCCGTAGCCGCTGCTGCCGTCGTCTCCACCCCTCAGTTGGCGGCGACGGAAGTCCTCCTCCAGAATCTTCGTCCGCACCCACTCGAGCGTCCACAAGCTCTGGTTCTGCGGCAGGCTCAATCCGCTCGTGAATTGAAGCCACGATTCCGGCAGCAGCGATAGCATCTTCAAGCACTTGGTCTGCGCCGGGTAGGTGATTCCCGCGGTCGCCAACTTCGCGTAGAGGTCGCGCATTTTGTCCAAAACAGGTTGCACCGGCTCTCCCTCGCTCAAGCGCAACGCGGACAGCTCCCTCTCCAGCATCAACGTTGCGACAACGGAGGTCGGGGCGTGCAGCTCCTTCAACACGGTCCACGCCTTCGGACCGCAATCAACCTCCGGCAGCAGGTGCATGACGTGGTGACGCTGGTTCAGCTCCAAACTCTGCGACATCAAGTAGTAGCCAGCCGAGGCGCGCTCGTCCCAATCTTCCTGCAGCGCGGGGTCACTCGGTCTAGGCTCCTCCCCAATCATTAGTTTCAACAAACCAATCTGACGGAAGTAAAGTTGCATTTTCCATGCCCAATCATCATAGCCCTCACCATTGAACTTCTCGACGGTGAAGTTCTTCAGCACCTCCTTGATCAGCGAGCCCTGGTTTGTTCGCGCTCCCCTTGGCGCCGAAACACCAGAATCCTGGCTGCCGCTACGATCTTGGGCTGAAGATTCACCAGCTCCCGCCGAGGTATTTCCCGCCATAGCTACCTATAACGAGGATCACTATAACGCAGCTCTGATACCAGCTTGTTGGTGTAAGGGCCTAATAAACTCAGGCTATTAAGACGTTATCCAACTTAAAACCTCTCCTCGGGGTCACCTCCAAGGGTCCCTGGGTGCTTGGTACAAGACCAGCCCCTAACCTCGGGTCCGAGTTTGTAGAGAGAGGGATCAAGAGAGACTTAGTCAAAACAGCAAGAGTACCTTGAACGTTGCGCAGCGTGCTGTGCAGACCGTCGATCGGATTAAGCTGAGAAGTCGTTATATCGAAGCTCACTCTAAGAGCTTTCAAAAAAGAGCAAGTTACCTCGCGAAAAGTTCTGCCATTGCAGAGTTACGGCTCGGACAGCGTTTGCCTAGCGTTGGAGCGCTAGCGTACTAGCGTTGACTCGGTAGCATTCTGCCGTCGAATCGCGTGGATACGAAATTCCAGCAAGGAAGGAATTCGCTTGAATCAATTTGAATATATTCAGGTACAAACAGAGAAGGAATATATAGTTCTATCTAGCAAGGATCTTGGGAATCAACCTGGGAACAACCAGGGATGATCCCAAATAATTCCAAGCAACAGAACCAACCTGGCTGGACAAAACAGCAGGTGGTAGGTTGGTAAACAACCTCTGGTTCTGTTTTTCCAACCTGGGAAAACAACAACCAGGTTCAGGTCCTAAAAACAGAACCTGTTTTGTCTTTGCCCAACCAGCCAAATGCTAGTTCCGCTGGTTTCCCCTGGCCCTGTAGCATGCAGATACAGACAAACAACATCCAACCTTCACCTAAATTCTACCCCTATAGTGCCTGCCCTGCTACACTATAGTCAACCAAACAAAACAGTACACGTTTGAGTTGGATAGAACTGAATCTGCGCACTCAATTAAACCGAACTGCAAAGCTTCCATCTTGGGTTCCTTTGCGAGCTCGTCCTTTCTGCTTGCACTGTTCATAGCGCGTACAATGTTGTGCCGAAGCGCACATTGCGCGAGTACCTGCAAATGCATCAAGCGAAAATTGCGAAAACAAACAAACACACGAACATTCCATTCACACCCAAATGCATTCGCACACGCATACTCGTACAAACAGACGGCAGGATGTCGTGCAATGTGAATTTGCACCCAACAGAGTTTGGGCGTGCAGAGCCTGGGCGTGTGGAGCCGGAGGGTACTGTGTCTGGAGGTGCTGAGCCTGCGCGTGCTGAGTCTGGAGGTGCTCTAGGTGTCCCGTTGAGGCGGGAGCCCCTCTCTCCACAGCAGCTTCGTGAGTGGTACTCTCGGCACTGTCGAGGTGCTGCTGGTGCTGGTGCTGCTGGAGCTGCTGGAGGTGCTGCTGGTGCTGGTGCTGCTGGAGCTGCTGGAGGTGCTGCTGGTGCTGGTGCTGCTGGAGCTTCTGGAGGTGCTGCTGCTGCTGGAGCTGCTGGAGATGCTGCTGGTGCTGGAGGTGCTTCTGGTGCTGGAGCTGCAGGAGGTGCTGGGGTTGCTTGAGGTGCTGCTGGTGCTGGAGCTGCTGGAGCTACTGGAGCTGCTGGAGTTGCTGCTGGGACTGGAGACCCTGGGGCTGAGGGTACCGGTTTTGTCTCTGCTGTTTCTGGAGGCGCTGCGCGGCCGCGGCCGTACTACGTTCCGCTCCTTCAGCAGGTTCTTGGCTCCCCGCCTTCTCCTGGTCCTCCTCCTCCTTTCCTGCGTCCACCGCCTGTCCAGTCCCAGTCGCGGTTGCAGCCGGCCTATCCACTGTCTGGTCCTTCTCCTTACTCTGGACCGACTAGAGGTCTTACGGAGCGTCGTGAGCAGGCGCCACGCTGCTGGTACCAGAAGTTGGCAGTTGTTTTAGAGGAGACGGGATTCAAGACCAGCAGCTGTGATGAGAGCCTCTTTCTCAAGGAGAAGGGGAGAAGCTGGTGCTGTTTCTGGTCTACGTGGATGACATTCTTCTCTTCAGCAGCAGCATGAAGGAGATCCAGAAAGTGCAGCAGCATCTGATGAAGAACTTCAAGTGCAAGACCCTTGAGGAGGTAAAGTACTACCTCGGGATGCACGTGGAGAGGGATATGGATCACAGGTCGTTGAAGCTGCACCAGGAGAAGTTCATCAAAGAGCTGGGGGAGAAGTATGGGATTGAGAATCAGCGCAAGGTTGCAACTCCCCTACCAGCAGAATTCAAGCTTGTGATGGCAGCAGAGGATGAAGGGGTTGAAGCCGAGGAGCAGCAGCAATTTCAGTCCTTGGTGGGCAGCCTCTTGTATGCAGCAGTTCACACAAGGCCCAACATGTCTTTCTCGGTTTGGCAGCTGGCTAGGGTGGTGCAGAATCCATTAGAGGAGCAGGTGGATGCAGCTGAGCGTGTTGTGAAGTACCTGAACTCTCACCCAAGCATTGGACGTCCTTCGTCGACCGCCCACCTCCGCTACCACCTCTGCCAGGCTTCCCGCGCTGCCCTTGCTGCTAATTCAGCTTCGTCGGTGCAGCGTAGTTTGCCCGAGGAAGGAGCTCCGCATCTGCACAGGTGAAGCAGAAAGGGGTTGAGGTGCTGAAAGAGAAGGGGGAGCGGCTTGGAGAAGGCAAGCTGTTTCTCACTTGCTTTACCGATGCTACGTGGGAGGATACATCTGCGTAGTTGGGGGAGGACCTGTTAGTTGGAGGTCCAAGAAGCAGACGGAGACGGCACTCTCCTCCGTGGAATCAGAGTACATGGCTATGTTTCATGGGGTGAAGGAGATGATTTGGTTGAGGAGGCTGTTAGAGGAGATTGGCTAGGAGCAGAAGGTTGCTACGCCGCTGTTTTGTGATAGCAAAGGGCCTCTTGGGATGGCCAGGAACGCTATGCTTCATGGGCTGAACAAGCACATGCGTATCAAATGGCACTGGCTGCGTAAGGATGTGAAGAGGGGTACGGTGAATCCGATCTACATCAAGACTCACCAGCAGCCAGCAGACTTCCTCACCAAGAGGCTTGCAGATGAGCCTCATTGGCGTTGTGTGCGCATGAGTGGAATGAGCATGAACTAGCATGGAATGATTGTCAGAGTTATATTATTATAACTGCATGTAGTTCTAGCCTTAGTGTAGTTATCCTAACTTCTTGCTTGGTGGTGTACCCCCCTTTCCTACCCTATTTGTACTTCACTCTCTATAGTGAATCCGCTCTTCTTGTTCTCAACTCTCTCGATAGTCTATGCCTAGCCTAAACTCTAGCATGACTCCTAAGTTTGCCCCTTCCTACTAGCTACTAATTCTGAGATGGTATTAAGAGCTACTACGGTCTTAGGACCTATCCTCTTTCGTGGAACATGGGCCCACCCATGCTGCAGCGCGAAATTAGATTTTGTTTTTTTCCTCGTCACCGGTCGCGCCCGAGGCGCCTACCGGTCCCGTCCCGTCATGCCCGTCGCGCTCTGCCCTGTCGCGCCCGATGCGCCTGCCCGTCCCGTCCTGTCATCGCCCTGCGCACGTTACGCCCGTCGCCCTGTCCGTCGTAAGCGCCAGCGCTAGCCCGGACAACCAGCGCCAGCGCCTGCGACTGCCGCCAGCGCCAGTGCGGAGCGCAAGCGCCAGCGCCAACGCCAACGCCTGCACACAGCGCTAGCGCCAGCGCCAGAGCCTATGCCTGCGCCACCGCCAGCGCCAGCGCCGGCAGCAGCTAACGCCGCCCCCCCGCCTCCCCCTTCCCTCTCGCAGCATCTGCCGTGGAAGGGGGGGAGATGTGGGGGTGGCGAGTGTGACAAACCAGCAGCCCGTCCCTCCCTTCCCTCTTCCTCTCTCCACTGCAGCGCTTGTTGCTGTGTGGGGGGGGTGGGGGAGGAGAGAGGTGTAGGGGGGATGAGAGCGGTTAAGGGGGGACGACAGAGTGTGGCGGACGAGGCAGCCCCACATCTGCGACTGCCGCCCTCTGCTACCGTGGTACCTCCAGTTTCAGCCCCTGTCGCCACCCTTGTTTGTCCTGACTCTCTACTGCTGTTGAGCGGCAGGTGCTGTCCTTGAGCCCTGCTGTGCCGCCGCCCTTGCCGCCGCACGCTCCTACTTTCCACGCGGCCTGCTGCCACATGCACCTACTTCTGCTGCTTCTACCTTGGCTGAGGGGTTACTGCAACTGTATCTGCCACTATTGCACTGGTTGTCACTGCTCTTGCGTGCTGCTGCTTTGTTCTGCTTAGTGTACCCCTGCAGGTTGTGTCTAGCACTTGGCTCTTCCTGCATGCAGTTAAGGGGGGATGTCAGAGTTATATTATTATAACTGCTTGTAGTTCTAGCCTTAGTGTAGTTATCCTAACTTCCTCCTTGGTGGTGTACCCCCCTTTCCTACCCTATTCGTACTTCACTCTCTATAGTGAAACCCCTCTTCTTGTTCTCAACTCTCTCGATAGTCTATGCCTAGCCTAAACTTTAGCATGACTCCTAAGCTTGCCCCTTCCTACTAGCTACTGATTCTGAGAATGATGTGGAATGCAGCCGGCAGGCTGAGGGGGAGTGTGTTTTGTGCAAATTCACATTGCATGACATCCTGCCGTCTGTTTGTATGAGTATGCGTGAATGGAATGTTCGTGTGTTTGTTTGCTTTCGCAATTTTCGCTCGATGCATTTGCAGATACTCGCGCAATGTGCGCTTCGGCACAACATTGTACGCGCTATGAACAGTGCAAGCAGAAAGGACGAGCTCGCAAAGGAATCCAAGATGGAAGCTTTGCAGTTCGGTTGACTTGAATATGCAGATTCAGTTATATCCAACTCGAAATTGTATTGTGGTGTTTGGTAAACTATAGTGTACCAGGGCAGGCACTATAGGGGTACAATTTAGGTGAAGGTTGGATGTTGTTTGTCTGTATCTGCATGCTACAGGGCCAGGGGAAACCAGCGGAACCAACATTTGGCTGGTTGGGCAAAGACAAAATAGATTCTGTTTTTAGGACCTGAACCTGGTTGTTGTTTTCCCAGGTTGGAAAAAGAGAACCAGAGGTTGTTTACCAACCTACCACCTGCTGTTTTGTCAAGCCAGGTTGGTTCTGTTGCTTGGAATTATTTGGGATCATCCCTGGTTATTCCTTCTTTGACTGTACCTGAATATAGTCAATTTGATTCAAGCGAATTCCTTCCTTGCTGGAATTTCATTTCTACGCGGTGCGACGGCAGAATGCTACCGAGTCAACGCTACTACGCTAGCAATACGACGCTAGGCCAACGCTGTCCAATTCGTTGTCAAATAGTAGGTGAACCAAGGCTTAGGAGGAACCGTGGCCCAGATGAATGTCGAGAGAAGAATAAATAAGAGATGGTTGCACTACAGGAACAATAGTACATATAGGCAAGAGCTAGGGGTGCACCACCAACAAAGTATGAACCTACACTACAGTTAATGCAAAGGACAGTTTATATAAAATATGTTTTCAACACACCCCTAAACTGTTCATAGCAATAACCAGTGCAGTCAACACCCCCTGAAGGGGTACACCCAAGGCAGAGCGCAGCAGAAGTAGGAGAGGGCATGTGAGGAGGAGGAGAGAGAGAGTGATGAGGAGAGGAGGTGGAAGGAGCCAAGCGCGGAGAGCCCCTCTTACGAACCCCCTCATTACAAAGGGGGAGGTGTGAGAGAAAGAGAGATGAGGAGAGGAGGTGGGGGGAAGCCAAGCGCGGCGAACCCCTCTTACGAACCTCCTTTTTACAGAGAGGGGGGGGGGTGAGAGAGGGAGGAGAGGAGGTGGGGGGGAGCCAAGCGCGGCGAGACCCTCTTACGAACCTCCAAGTCCACACCCTCTTTCAGCCACCCCCCTAAACCTCACCCCCCCCCTGTTCAACCACCCCCCAAAACCGCACCCTTCTTTCAGCCACCCCCCAAACTACACCCCTTCCGCCACCCCCTCACCCTCCCACCTTACCCCACTGCAATAGGAGCAGCAGGGGGGGGGAAGAAAGAAGAGGTGGAGGGACGGCTGCTGGCTGGTCACACCCGCCACCCTCACACCCTCCCCCCTCCCCCTCTTCGGTTGCACGAGCAGCAGAAGTGGCGGGAGCCGCTGCTGCATCCACCCCCGTCACCCCCATACCCTCCCCCCCCCCCCCCCCCTGCTGTACGACCAGCAGGGGGACGGAGGAGAAGGGGGGGGGGGGGGGGGTGGTAGCAGCTTCTGCTGCTGAGGCACATTCGCCACCCCCTCACACCCTCTCCCCGCAGCAGCGGACGCGGCCGTGAAAGAGGAGGAGGCGTGGCGGCAGCTGCTGCTGCTGAGGCACATCCGCCACCCCCTCACACCCTCTCCAACCCTTTCCCATGGGGGGGGGGGGGGGGGGGGGGGGGGGGGAGGGGGGCAGGGGCGGGGAATGAGCTACGCGTGCGACTGCAGGGCGCGCGGGCAGGAAGAAACCGTCGTGCGCTCGAGGCGTGCGACTAGTAGAAATCGACGCGCGCCCGGGGCATGCGACGGACAGGAACCGACGCGCAGCCGGGGCACGCATCTGGCAGAATTCGTCGCGCACCCGGGGTGCGCGACGGGCAG